ACACTTGGGTTTGGGTACAAGGGCCCAAGTCTGATTGCATTGAAGAGCATCAAATTCCTCTTGCATGGAAGAGTGCCAATGAGGGGCGGATAGGGCCTGGGTTATAGAAGAGGGTTTAGATTTAGATGAGAGAAGAGGGTACTTGGTTGCAAGAAAGGTTTTTGGTTTAAAAACACCACTCTTAGCTCTAGTGGTCATGGGGTGTGTGTTAGAAGGTGGTGGAGGTTGATGAATAATAGAAGTGTTGGACGATGCTAGTATAGGTAACGAAGGTAGGTTAGGCAAAGAAGGAGATGATGTGGCATGGTCATCATTAATTAGGAGATGGTAGGGGTGAAGAGGGAGGGGAAGGTTCAATATTGGGTGGAAGAGGAGAGCTATTGGAGATAACTGATGGTGTATTTATGGTGGGACATGGTTTGGGTAGAATAATAGAGGTGATATGTAGTGGGGCAGGTTGAGATGATTATTGTATTGGTTCAAGGGAGGAGGGTAGCTCCTTGAAAGGGAAATGTGTCTCGTTAAATAATACATGACGAGATATATACCAATGTCCAGTTGCAAGTTGAAGGCACCTGTAGCCATGATTTTCTGGGCTATAACCCATGAAAATGCAAGGAGTGGATCTGAAATCTATCTTATGTTCATTGTAAGGTCTTAAGTAGGGAAAACATTCACAACCAAATAACTTGATGCAGAAATAGTTTGGTTTAGTGTGAACAAGTTTTTCCCATGGTGAGACATGTCCAATGACTTTGCTAGGCATTCTATTATATAAATAAGCAACAATATAAAAGGATTCCCACCAGAAACACATGGGTACGAATGCCTGTGCAAATAGAGTTAGACTAGTCTCAGTTATATGTTTGTGTCGGCTTTCAACACAACTATTTTGTTCAAAGGTGTGAGGGCAGCTCAGCTGATGTGTGATACCACACTGCTCAAGAATGGGATGGAAAGAAGAGAATTCCTTCCCACCTTTAGTTTGCAATGCCGTGATAGAACATCAAAGTATATTTTCAACATTGGCCTTGAACTTGATGAAAACGTTTAAGGCTTAAGACTTTAATTTAAGAGGAAAAATCCACAAATACTTAGTAAAGGCATCAATAAAGCTTATATAGTATTTAAAACCACCATGAGAAGCAACTAAGGCAAGTCCCCTAGTAGTAGATGAACTAACTGAAAATGATAACTTGTGACTCTTACCCATGGGACAAGAGGCATAGAAACTTAATGATTTACCAAAGCTAATTGGCAATTTATTATTGAATACTACTTGTCTAACAATGCTAGGTGATGGATGTCCAAAACGTTGATGCCAGAGATCTATTGAAGTTCTTTCTCCTATGAGAGCAAGATTTTTTGCACTTGTAATTTGATCATTCTGCAGTTTATAGAGATCATTGCTAATTGGTCTTTCTAGTAAGATATTCATTTGTTAATCCTTCACAACAAATAAACGAGGATGAAACTCAAAAAATACATCAAACTGAGCAACTGATAATAGATTTTTGGTCATTTTTGGAACATGCAACAAGTTTCTAAGAATGAAAGGTCAAGAAGAAGATGATCTGTCCCACTATAAGATGAGTGAAGTTTCAAATTACCAAGTTCTGTAGTTAGGTGGTTTGTGGCTCTAGAGTTTGGATGCCAACTCCCATCATTATCTATGGAGGCAAAGTTGATTGAGTTCGTTGCTCGATCTAAATCACCATCTCTGTGATACCTAAAATAACAATTCTTTAAAGTGTGGTCTTTCTTTTTACAGATCTGGCATGGTCCGAGTATTCATCCTTTTAATTTCACCAGTGGTCTGTTGATTTTGTTTGGGTCGATTATCTTGACCTTTGTTTTTGTTGTTATTGGATCTAGGCCCTCCTTATTGATGTCCACATTGAGTAACATGAACACTTGGTACAATATGATCTGTGCTAGCCCTCAGGGCTTCCATTTTGAGTTCATGATTATAAGGCATGCTTTGAATGTCATCAAAAGTAAGTGAATCAGTTAGAGTACTCACAGATGTAATGAATGCTTCATAATCTGTTCCAAGACCAGCTAAGGTTTTAATCACCAAGTCTTGAACAGTGATGGGTTGTTTAGCCATGGAGAGACTATCAGAAATATTTTTGGCCTTTTGTAGATATTCATTCATTTGCATCGTGCCTTTTCTTAGGTTCATCAACTCTGCATGAAGTTGCATGACTTTAACCCTAGACTGGGAAGCAAATAATCTTTCCAGAGTGCTACAAACAACTCTAGTTGTGGAGCAACCAACTTGGTCTTGTGGTACAACATCCAACTAAGTAACTATAGGTCTTGTTTTATTTTGGGTTGGTAAACTTTTGCCCATCCACTTCAATATTTTGAGATGGACACGAGAGTGATCCATCTGCATATCCAATCAGATATGAACCATCTAATGCTGGCAAAATTTGTGACCTCCAAAGCATATAGTTATATCGATCTAGCTTCATAGTGACAAGCTGACCAAGATTTGTAGCGGACATGCTTCCAATCTAAAGTCGCCTAGTTTGAGTTTAAGAGATTGAAACAGGGGAGGTCGAAGTAGAGCTGGTGTTACTAGCCATGGTAACCTATGGCTTTGATACCATAAAAGACAATGCAAGGAAGAAAAATATTGGACGACTTTATTGATTTAATTGAATTACATATATAGATACAAGTAGTTGAGTCCTAACAAAACACTTCATTGATGAATGGATGAGGATAAGCATGAGCTGGGTTAACATGAGCCGTATGGATGCATTACGTGTCTAATAGAAGAACAAAACACTGTTTGTTGTTGTAGCAGCAACAAAACCTACAGTTAAATCTAGGATTGATCGATCCATCGGAGCCCATGAAACAGATGAAAGGCTAGGCCTAGGCAGGTTTTTATGCAGCAAGCATTCTGCAATCTGTATGGTCATTGTGGGTCCCTGTGTGAGAAGCTATACGATGGAGTTTTAGGGTTCCTCTCTTTTTCAGATAGTGGAGTTTCCAACAGAGTTCTTGTTGAATCATGGAGTTCGGGATGAGAGATTGAAAGACGATAAAGAGATCGAAGGGAGGTTTTTTTGTCGAGTTTTAAATAAAGTTATTTTTGTAAAATTGTATGTAAAATAATTTATAAAAGGGTACAATGAGCATTTCGAAAAAACTGATGCAAACAGAAAGGAGGTTTTTGTCAAATTTTTTAAAAGTTTAGGAGAAATATTTGTTAAAATAATACTAAAGGGGAGGTTTTATGATTGTCAAAAACTTTAGAGAAGGTTTTTATATTTTACCCTCAATTTTATTTGTATGTACACGCTTCCCATGAACCAAAAGGTTCACCGGATGCGAGCTCGCAGTGTTGTACTATTATGTCAATTGAGCCCAAGGTAAATGGTAAGTTGGTAACAAGTAGACCTAGCTCATATCATTGGCACGAGGCTCCCCTAGTCCACTTTGCAAGTTTAGAGTCCATTAATTCCCACTTTTACTTTTGGGGATCTCCCCTAGTCCGCCAGTTGCTTTTCTTTGGTCTGGATCTGTCCTATATGTGGATCACTGAAACTAGGGCTAGGGCTAGGGCTAGGGCTAGGGCTAGGGCAATCTTCTTCGCCTTTTAACAGCAGGGAGTCCTTGTAAATGATTTTGTCTCTATATAACTGGGGCCACGGATCCTAATCCGTGCTGGTTAAGGGCAGCCTAGGCTGTTGGGAAGATCCATCTCTCTTTCTCTCTCTCACTCTATATTGCAGAATTAAGTGGCCACACCCCACACGACTATAAAATCCCCCATTAGCCAAAGAACATCACAACCAGAACCCTAATCAACTGGAGTGATTAATCGACTCTTACGACATTTCTCGTGTACATTTTGATCACATGGAGCTAGAGTAAAATGGCTGGCATCCAATTGTGGAAATGACAATTTTGGGGCCTCTTTAAATGCAGTCATTTATGGATTTGTCCTGTTATTACCACTTAATTATGCAATTAAAGTAATGTATGTGTCCAAATTCATTCACCCCAGGAGTGAGAAGCCTCATCTCCCCTATGATGCAGTAAGTACTCTTACTTTGAATTTACACAAACACTATTAATTTATTTTTCCCAGGAACAACCTGCTGGATTTGGAAACAACTAATGCCAAAGATAGATAGATAGATAGATAGATATAAGCAGTGAATTCACATACATAATATAAATATATGAGATTTAGAAGCTAGGTGGAAATCCATCACTAGCACACCCCACCATAAGAAGAATATATTGAGATTGGTATTATTAGTTTCGATAGGGGAACATTATAAAAGAAGCCAGATGAACGGATGATTGATGAGACGTATGGGAGAGTAATTGACACGGTCGCAGGAAATGTTTTCTAGTACTTGAGAGATCAGTAGTATATATAGCTGTACTTAACTTTATAATTTCAGAAGGTGAGTGTGAGGAGTGGTGCACGTGTGTGCAGAAAGTAGAAACTAGAAAACCAAGATGGATGGATAGGAGTTCTGGATAGAACTCGAGAGATAGATGCGCACTGGTGCAGTGGTGGTGCGTGCGTTCTGAGTCTTCTGACACGAAATTAAAGTATATACCATACGAGGGTCGGGCAAACAACAGTAACGCTCCATTTCTGCTGACTTGTAAAGTATGTTTTCTGATTCTTTTCCCTTCTCCCTCTTATTAATTTCCTGCTTCATTTTTATTCTTTCGTGGTGATAAAACAGTACACCAATCTACTTTGGACTCTGGAGTATTGGAGTCTAGACTTCCATCATAGAGTGTAGAATGTAGATATCGCCCGCCTTATTAGCTCTATTTTATTTTCCGTAGTTTACTTGTTTTGACGATTTTTATGAGGTGTCCATGCATCATCTCTGTCATATATGGGTTCATAAATAAGAAAAGTAGATATTCTCTGAGCTATTTTTGATACTCGCTAAAATGAACCCTTTGTATTAATTTGTTTAATTTGCAGGCAAAATAGTATATTTTTAACGATGGCGGACGTGAACAATTTGGTGACTTCGGGGTTGCCTCCGAGGAGTCCTGGGAGCTTGATGTTGAACGGAAAGCGCAGCGACAGCAATAATACCGCCACCACCATCTTTCCATCTTGGCTCAGCAGCGTGCAATGTCCCTCATCCCACAGTACATCGGCCAGCAATTCATTTGCATTGATCAAGAGACCAGGAACCTTGAATACTGATGACAAAGTTACTGATCCAACCCTGGAGAATGACAAGAACAAGAAGATCGAGAATTCATTGCCGCAACCAAGTAAAACTCCGAGTTCCGAGAGCATAGTGGCAGTCAAGACGGAGCCCAGTTTAGATACTGACGCCAAAAGGAACAACATGGACCAAAAGATGAAACGGTGGGTCATACGTTTTCATAATCTCTTCATTTTTTTTGTTTTTTTACTTTGTCAATATATGGAATGGAACAAAACTTTAACCTGCTGAAATATTCCCCATCGAAGCTCAAAGAATTAAAAGCAGACATATAAAGAATGTATTTAGCTTTTCATGACAGAATCCTAGCAAATCGGCAATCTGCACATAGATCAAGGATGAAGAAGCTACAGTACGTAACTAACCTTGAGAAGAGAAGAGATTCACTGGAGGTATTACCTGTATTTCATTCCAAGTTTCCAACAATGGAGAGAATGTTTAATTTCATCATTAACCTTAATTTTCCCTAATTTTCTGGTTCATTGTCTTGATCTAATTTTGTAGGCGGAAGTAGCACGGCTATCTCCTCAACTTTTGCGCTACCAACATCAACGCCTACAGCTGAAGGTAGAGAGCACCATATTGAAGCAGAAGATGTCTAGTTTTATGGGAGAGCAACTATTAAAAGAAGGTACGCACATACCAGCCCATCCCATATGTGTATTGAATTGTTTATACATGATACATACATAATATAATTAGGTGGTTCTTCTATTATATTGACTATTCTAATTGGGTGTAGGTCCTTTAGTAAGTTCCGGTCCCTAAACCTATACAAGACCAATGTATCTTACATTTGACAAATTTATTTAAAAGCTAAAAATCTCAAATTCTCACTTTGTATTCATTGCAAAAATTTTTAGCTACTTTGTACATGGAAATAATTAAGCTCATTTTTATGATTAAGCTTTATATATTCAGGTTAAAATTAATCAATTTCCTAATTAGTGGATATATATATATATATATATATATAGGGAGACAGCAAGGTCCGCTAGCTAGGCAGGCTACCTCATATTGAAGAGTTGCAGACTTGCAGCTTAGGGGCTGTTGGGTAACAGCTGAAGTACCTTGTCTTTTTCAATAAATAAGCTTTTAAGAGGTCGTGGGATCCTTAATGGCTGAAGATGAAGTTTGATATATCACTCTACCGTTTAAAATTTTATTATTTAATTATTTTATCAACTAAAAGACAATAAGTCTAGCCATTATCAAATGTCCCCTTAGTCAAGTATTGACATTATATAGAAGAGGTGATGGCAATTAAAAGGTACGTTGAAAAATAATAACATGGGTTACATGTAAATGAGAGTAATGTTTTAAGAGGCTATGAGGTTAGGCTGAAAGTCCTACGAGGCAAGGTAGATCTAGCCAAACTGCCCTTGCTTTCAAAGGTTTCATAGGCTGCATTTGGGAGGGCTTCTATTAAGCACTTTTGCAGCTTAGTTATTGCGTTTTGGAAGCCAAAAGCATCCTTGAAAAGGCACAAAAAGATTTTGGTGAAGTGCTTTTTAACCCCCCAAATCCACAAAACCACATTTAGAAGAAGCCAAAAAATTGGCTTCCAAAGCCCTTTTTATTAAGACGTAACCTGTTTATGAAATGTCAAACCAAATGCTTAAAAAGTGCTTATCTGATAATCATTTTTTCAAAAAGCCCCTTCAAACACAGCCATAATCATTATACGAGGCTTAGATTTTATTTTGAAAGAAGCTTAGCATTTCTGCCTCGGGCCTCAATCTTTAGCTCTAAAAAAGTAGAAAAGGAAGTATTAAAACATAGATTATATATTTTTGTAGCCACATAGGCTACACAATTGGATTTCCTCCTAACAAAATTGGTCCTCACACCCACCTCACACCTTTTGCAGCTGTGCTTTGGAACATACTTTCATTAATAAAAACATACAAGTATAGAGATTCTGGATTTGTGGCTGTAAGGGTCATGAGGTAAGTGTGAGGGAGTTCGTCTTCGGTCAATGCAAGTCCATGTCCACACCATTCGAACAGCCTCTTGCAACCTTGCATTGGGACTATCTCCCCATGAAATAAAGCACATAAGTATAGAGATATTCCCAATGCAAGGCTATAAATTAAAGGTTATTCAAACGGGAATTGCACTAACCAAAGCTGAACTCCGTGTGAGGTGTGAGGACCAATTCTGTGAGGAAATCCGAACTCATAGGCTACTGCTTATTGGTAAGGTTTCTTTTTAACTACAGATCTCAATTTTGCCATCCTTGGATTTTGAATAAGGAGGGAAAGGAAAATAAAAGAGAATAAATGCTAGTCACTTGCTCTCTTCAACAGTGCAATGCTTAGACCAAGTAACTTATATAATTCAATCACAAGCTATTTTATAATTGGGATATATAAAAGCTAATCTGTATACTTAGATATGTAATCATTCAAAAACGATGAATATTTATATGCACTTATTGTTCTTTTCCTCTATATTTTATTAATTGATTATTAAGCTTCTTGTCCTTGTATACTAATTTATACTATTATAAAGTGGATATTTGCCTTGTTTATTTATCTTGCGCACAAGCATAGCACGTGCCTCACACTAGTTATATTAAAAAGGAAAGGTATTGTGTTTTCCTATTCACTTTCTGCATCATATTATCATCTCTCTTTCTCTCTAAACAAGGTTCAAAATACTGCAGCATATCAGTGCATATCGTATCGTCTTTTTTGGGCCAATGATATGTGAAATACTTAGAGTTGGGCAGCAAGATGGAAGAATTAGAACCTTGAATATGACCGCTTGCCCGATGTTACTAAACAAGAAATGTATGTAAATACTACAAACTAGAACTTGGAGGACAATTCGATCTCTCAATGTTATTGTTTTAAACAAGAAATGTACTAGGGTGTGAAACTTTCTTCTTGACTGAAATACCGTTGTTTTTAATTTTGTCATTCTCTAATTGTGAGGGCAAAAAATATATTTTGAACTACCACTACTTTTCAGCTCATTCAATTTTTTCTCATTAAATCTTATATTTAAGATATTAGCTGTCATTATCTATCATTAAATTCTATATTTGAGGTATTTTCTCATTAATAAATTTTATTAATTAGATCTATATCCAATTCTTTTAACAATTAAAATTCATACTTTTTAAAATTGACTCAAAAAACAAAGCCACTAATCTATCTAGGTCATCATAGTTAAATGCTAAAATTTTCAAAAATAGAAATAAATACAAAAAATATAAAAATTATAGAAAATCGTGGGAACATCTCTAATATTATATTAATGATATTAAAGAAAAAATAAGTATGATAAACAATAATCAATAGAAATGAAATACATAATTTAAAACTGACTCAAAATGAAATTGTTTTCTTATTTGGTGATGGGTCAATAGTTCAACCTTTCAGGTCAAATGTATAAACACCTGATGTTATAATTAAATGATAAACACACAAACAAAATACAAAAATTTGTAAAAAAACAAATGGGCACATTTCTGATATTATATATTCATCATATTAAAAGAAAATAAGCGTGATAAATAAGAATTATTTTTAAAAACATAAAAATATAAATGACTTTAGAAAAAAATAATTTCGACATGTTATTATACACATTTGCTAGTTTGGACAAATTAAGGAAAGTTAACAATCATATTTGATAGATTTAACCTTTTTGGTAGCAGCAACTTTTAGTAATAAATCTTTCATAAGTTACTTTCCATCTCTTCATAAGTTCCTCTTATTTTTAAAGTATTAAGTTCTGCTATTTAAGGGGTCCTAACTAGGAAAATGGTTTTGCCGAATTTGGGTCCAGTTTATCTTTTAACATGAATAGAAACTTTTTTCACCCCTAACGAAATACAACAAACATAAAGGACTACCTTACATCCTTAAATTTTGGTCCATCTTATATATCTTTTATGTAGGAGCCATCTAACAATGGGTCCCGATTCTACAAGAGTGGGACAGGTGGCAAGTTATAGGCAACTTAAACCCATAAATGGTCCTATGTCTCACAACCGAGAGGGTTTTCTGCTTGTAGCTCAATTTGAAGCTCTAAAGGAAGAACGTGAGAGGCTGAGGCAACTGTTGGTGTGGCAACAGGAGCAGCAGCACCAGCAACAGAGTCAGAGACAACAGCAGTTGAAATTTCAAGAAAAAGAACAAAAGCGTTTGCAGCAGTTGCAACAACAACAACTACAAGAAGATATGTTTGGGTTGAATCCCGTGCAAAACACTCTCCAAACCAACACTGTGCTTTCGGATGCTTCTAACAGTGAGTGCATTCTGAGTCTGGGGTCTTCTAATATTGGGATCACTTCGTTGCTAGATCCGCTCCACAACTTCAAATCCATGAGCCTAGCTAGGTTCTTCTAATACTAGTGAATTAACTCTTGGATCCACTCAGATTCAATCCCTTGAGCATGGTTTCTTTTAAATCTTAACCATATTATTATTATTATGATAAAGGAACATGATCTTATGGTAAAGTTTCGACTGAATCTTCATCTTTCTCTAGGTGGGTTGCATTTGTATCATTGACGGAGGACCACCAGCTCTATAACACAGCCTGAGTCTGACGGGGGGCTTGAAAGGAGTAGATGGTTAAATTACTTTATGCTATCTATGAATTGTTGGTAACTGGTATTTGTTTTGCTTTATTGTTTGTTATTATTGTTTTAGTGTCATTCTCTATTATTGCGTACTGCTGATTTATTGTTGGTCTCATTCTGTATTACGTTGGTCTAAATATGGTAACAGCTTTCATGAATTACGAATAGTAGTATGATTAATCCAGATGCAACGTCCGACGAGAAACTTTTCTTTATTTCTAGAAAATACGAAGAGAAGCATCTTCTCAAAAATCCACGAGAGTGGTTGAATTGTAGGAGAAATGACATTGTCTTTTACAAATTGTTCTAGATCCATAGTTGATTTTATTTTGGTAAAGCATGCTTAGTTCTGAACAACTTATGGCTTTTAAGAAAATTACTAGATATTTTTGATAATATTTCCGTATTTATATGTTTTTATTCATAAATAGATATTTTCGATACACACTTACAAGTGGCCGAGTAAAAGTATGAGCACGGTTTTGGACTGTATCCAAATTCTTCAACAATGCCAGAAATTTATTCATTCTGGATATGACAGTAACAAAAGTAACAAACAACATAATCACATCATTGTTTCATGACACCTTTCCTCAATGCAGGTTATTTTAAGGGAAAATCCCCGATTAGTATCTATACCAAAGTTCAAAGTGTAAAAAATACAAGGTGTATCGGAAAGGTAATTTTATGAGATGTATCTTGATACACTTTGGAAGTGTATAGATATGAATGAAAAATCAAAATACACATGGATACGCCAAAAAATAAAAAATAAAAATTCCTTAAAAAATATGAACAATAAAAATGAATTTTRTGTGATTATAAATAATTTATTTAAACATAAAAACCATTCTTTAATGATTTATATATAAAGTATCGGAATATAATTAGTAACTATTGAAAAATAATAGAAGAAC